TTATTGAAATTTTTTAATCAACGGCAAAAAAAAGAAGTTATTTATTAGATAATGGGTCTCATCAAAGTTGAATTCAGGCCTAAAATATATGAGAGGAGCCCATTAATGAGTCCAAGTCGTAAAATCATAACAGTGGAGTAATGGTTGTTAGACAAAAATTTAAGAGATATACTTTAGGTTTTTTGGATAAATATGTTACAAGGATTAGTAACAAAAAAAAAATTGTGAAATCTTTAGATATAATTGGAACTTAGAAGTATGACCCTGTAAATGATCATCATATACTTTCCCTAAACTTGTTTTTATTTTTTTTGTTAATTAGTTTCCTAAACTTGAGGAGAGAGTTTTTCAAAGAATCCTACTTAGTCAAGATTATATAATAAAATCTTGTTGCAAGATATCCGCAACGAAGTTATAATAAAACAAGATACTATTTTCCTATAAATTGAAACAAAATATCCGGTATTTGATATTCAAATTAAAAACGAAAATCGCATGCGTTGTGATTGGTTAGTTCATGTTTTCATCCAAAACAAGATCTTGAAATCCAAAAAAAAAACACAATCAAAAATCAGAAAGTGAAACAAAAGAAAGAAGAAGATATGAATGTTTGTTGTCTAAACAATCAAAATCACAAGATTTGGTGTAGAGGGATCAAGAAATGAAGTTAAGTGTGGAGATAATAACGGGGACATTTATAGATACGGTGGTGAGTGAGAATGCGACGGTGAAACAATTGAAGGAGAAGATCTCGACGGAGGTGAAACTACCGGTGAGAAGATTGATACTTGTGTTCGGAAATGAAGAGGAGAGAAGAATGTTGATGGATGATGAAGATGAAATAATGTTGAGAGATTTGGGAATGAGAGAAGATTCTCATATGTATTTGTTCATTAAGAATCTTGATTTGGTTTCTATGGAAGAGAGATCTCTAGAAGGAGATGATGTTTCTATGGAGGAGATTTCTTCGGAAGCAGAGAGTCGAAGAAGAGAAAATGAAGAAGACGAAAAGGTGAAAATCGACGGTGAAGATGAAGATAAACAGATGAAGAATGAAGAAGAAGAAGAGAAGGAGAAAGATAGAGAAGACACAAAGGATGATGATAATGCTGAAGAGGAAGCAAGAGAGGTTGAAGAATTAGGAGATGAGAAAGAGGAAACCTAGAGTTTCTTATTGATTTGATGTTTTTGATTAACCATTAATCCATTTTGTTTTTGTTTTTTGTGATTATCTTGCAATAATGTTTCTTGTTCTACAAGTACACAATCTTCAATGAGTTAACCACCTTAATGAAATATTTAACTTTTGTTTATTCTTCTATGTACAAATCATAGCAAAAGCTTCTCTACGAGAACAGAGGAGAGGCTTTTCAGATCTACATGGTCATTTCCGGCTAAAGAAACCGGTAAACCGGAATAATCGACTGGTCAATAGTTGATTAAGATTTGTAATGGGAAGTAATTGACAATGCACTTCATTTTTTTTAACGACCCTAACAAATCAATTGTACTATCTTGAAGCTATAAGATCCACAATCTCTATGGTCACACTATTAATTAGATTCCCAAAATTTAGACCTTGATTGTTTGTAGATTTATAAATATGTAGATTTCTGGCTAAAGAATCCGGTTAACAAATTTCGAGTAAGACATGCAATTTAGTAGTTTGTGTTAAAGTCGTCGTTATCACTATACGCGTTTAAAAGTTTAAAATAGAATGCAATATTATGATTATTTTGACTACGCATTTACCTTAACTTTTAAAATGTAGTCAAAATATTGCATTCTATTTTAAATTTTTAAACGCGTATAGTGATAATGACTACTTTAACACAAACTACTAAATTACATGTCTTACTCAAAATTTGTTGCTATTCAAGTAACC